TTAGTGAAGTGAAAGGCTGGAGGGAAGTTACAGAATTCCCAAAGGTCTGTTAGGAATCATTCTGGCTGGAAGAGCATGGCCCACCATGCCCTCACTGGTGCTTAGCCTAGTGATGTTCGTGGCAGAGCCAGCAACAGCACCCAGAGGTGTGGATGTGGCTGTCATCCCACTCTCCCAGAGCTGGGGCTTGCCTGATGTCAGCCTGTGCCGTAAGTGGGGCAATCTCCCGGGCTTTCACTTCTGTCTGGCGTTATATCCACCCTTTTAGCTCCCTTTACACACTAGCCTTGGCCTCCTCGACTCACACGGGGGATCCATGGTGAATGATAACGAAGTAATGCTAACCATGGCCCATTTCAATAGCAACTCTCTAAAAATATATTGAACTTATAAAGTGTTCGTGGATCTAAAAGCACTCAAGTATAGCTTTAAGGTTAAAGCATTCACTTTAGATCCAGCTGTGATGGAATTTTGTCAGCTGTGATGGGCCTTCAGGTGAGTTACTGAAACTGCCTGAGTGTCAGTGTCCTCACTGACAAAACTGAGTCTCTCTTTGTAGGGTGGCTGTGAGGATTAAAAGAGACTGTAAAGGGCTTAGCATGGTGATTGGCACCTAGGAAGTGCTGAGAGAGAGCCATCATTATTATTCCATGTCTGAACACTGCAACACAGTTTTCACTTTCTTTTACTACTTTACCCCACCCCAGCTTCTAAGTCTTTCCCTTTTTCTTAAAATTTAGGTGGACAAAAGGTGGGTGTTGTAGGGTTAATTTGAGCCTGTCTTACGAGCTATTTATTAAATGTTTCTTTGTGATCTAAAATTATCATTTAATTTGAATGCTTACCATACTGCTCTTTTGTTTTTTCTGTGTGGGAAATGTCAAGTGGGGTGGATGTGAAGGACCACCGACTAGGGATGTTGAACATGTGAGAGTTAACGACCATGGCTTTTTAAAAAAACAAAACCAAGCGTATGGGATCATTAAATTATTGACGATGTTTTTGCTGCAGTGGATTTATAAATAATGCATGTTTAAAGGGTTATTTCCTTTACATTTCTTTAGGGACAACTAAAGAGTCTTCTCATTTTGAGTTTAAAGAGAACTGACAGTTGGAGAAAGGTCAGCAAATGTTCATTCGTGCAGTTTCTATGTCAAAAACCCCTCAAACTTCAAATAAGAAAATAACAAATTTTATATGACCATATCAAATAAGTATCCCCTATTTTTGGAGTAGAATGAGGCAATGGCTTTAATTTAGCAACTAAAGGGGGAAAAGCTTGAAATAATAATAAATGTTTTATATTAAACAGTATCACTTTTTTTTTCTCAGAAAACCCCAATTGAAGTTAGCTTCTATGGACAAAACAAAAAAGGAACCAAACAATTAGTCTCTGAAGCCCATCAGTTTCCTGACACATTAGCTCTTTAGAATATGTTGTTTTAAAAAGGGATGATGTGGAGTAACTGAGGACAGATACTGGGAAAAACTATGAAACCAGCTACAGTTACTCTCCATGGTCTGAGACACCCAAGAATTGTATGTCAGATTTCATTTGCTATACATACAGGTGTGGGGGAGAGGCCCAGGATCCATAGTTTTCATCACATTTATGGCCTTGAAGAAAGCTCAGATCCACTGCTTCTTCCTTTTCCTTTTGGAACTGGCTAAGAGGCTTGAGGGGGTGAAGGAGGGGAGGGAGAGACCAGAGCTCTTCCGATGTTAATTAACCTCACACTCCCTTCTGCCTCTCCATCTCAATACACCGCTAGCAGCACTCTGAACTTTCATCTGGTTCAACAATGCGGTTAAACAAAAACTAATTACTACACGAAACAGTATCCAACAACGTCAGGAAAAGATATAATGTTTTTACTTCTTTTATTTTTTTATTAAATTTTTTTTGAAAGTGAGCTTATTTTTTTCTGTGTATTTGGTTTTAACATCTATCTCTGTAACTTTCAAAAAGGGTTTGAAGGAGAATGTAAACTCATAATTCAATTACAAAACTCAAGCATTTTTCTGATGATGAAGGGATAGTTAAAATGTTTACTTTGAATGGGAGAACATTTTTTTGTTTGTTTGTTTGTTTGTGAGGAGGACTAGCCCTGAGCTAACATCCAATGCCAATCCTCCACTTTTTTTTGCTGAGGAAGACTGCCCCTGGGCTAACATCTGTGCCCATCTTCCTGTACTTTATATGGGATGCCGCCACAGCATGGCTTGACAAGTGGTGCGTCTGTGCGGGCCTGGGATCCGAACCTGCAAAACCCCGGCTGCCACAGCAGAGTGTGCACACTTAACAGCTGCGCCACCGGGCTGGCCCCCATATTTTCTTTACAAGCATTTAAAATATATCCTTTCTACCACTTAAGACCCAAGAGTTACTTAATTGTGTTACCTATTTGTAGTGGTAAGGGAGAGAGGAAAAATTACATGAAAAATTGGGTAGGGAGAGATTAAATGATTTATGTTCCTGAATTTAACCACATTTTCCTCATGAGGATGGGGCTGAGGGAGCTTAAGTAACTTGCCCAATGTCCCCCAAGTGAGTATCAGGGCCAGAATCCAAATCCAGGTCTGTCTGACTGCAAAGTCCATATTCTTTCCTCTGCAATCTTGGTCTCTGGCGACGTGCCTCTGTGACCTCCACTAACGATGTCTCCCCATCCTCCCACTCTGCACCGTGGCACCCGGGGACGGAGTTAGCGTGGAAGAAAGCAGGCTGACTCTGGGTGCGCTCCAGAGGATCTGTCCCCTAGAGTGGTTCTTTAAACTGACCGATGGAGGCTATAGAGAAGGACTGTTGGATACGGGATAAAACAAAGACAGGAAACAACAGTTTTCCTGAAAGACTGCAGTGTGCAACTATTAGAAAGTGTGAAGAACAAATCAATTAAAGCCCGAGCACTGGAAATGGTTGAGGGTGTTGGTGGTTTGGACAACAGCCAACTTGATTTGGGTTTTACTCTAAAAGCTAGTGATACATTGCCCCATTTTAGGTGTGAGGTGGCATTTTATCCATCATGCTAAAGTGTTGTCCAGACCTTTTCTCTTTATCACCTGAGGTTCTCTCCAAACTCCACAGGACACTTCAGCAAAGGACAAAGCCCACCTGCTAAGGGGAGAACATGAGTAACATCTTAAGATGACGTATCTGAAGCACCCAGCCTAGTGCCTGATCTAAGTGTGGTGCTAAATAAATGTTAGTTCCTCTTGTTCCCTCAACAGATGTGAGGCTAACAGACTTTTGAGGGAAGTTGCTAGTCTGAACTCTGTACATTTGCAAAGTGGACTATATTTGTGATGATGTCATAGAATGTTTGGATGGAAAGGCCCTGAGGGGTCATCCTTGGGTCTAACTCCTCTTTTTGTTTTCTTCTTCCAGCTTTATTGAGGTATAATTGACAAAAAAGTGTATATATTTAAGGTGTACAATGTGATGATGTGATATATGTATACATTGTGAAATGATTACCACAATCAAGCTAATTAATACATCCATCACCTCACTTAGTCACCATCTGTGTGTGTGTGTGTGGTGACAATACTTATGTTAGTATTCTAAGATCTATTCTCTTAGCAAATTTCAAGTATAAAATAACTATAGTCACCACGCTGTAAATTAGATCACCAGAACTTATTCATCTTATAACTGAAAGTTTGTACCCTTTGAACAACATCTTCCCACTTCTCCCATCCCTTAAGCCCTGGCAACCACCATTCTACTCCCTCCTTTCTATGAGTTCAGCTTTTTTAGATACCACACATAAGTGAGATCATACAGTATTTGTCTTTCTGTGTCTGGCTTATTTCACTTAGCATAATATTCTCCAGGTTCATCCATGTTGTCGAAAATGGCAGAGTTTCCTCCTTTCTCATGGTTGAATAACATTCCATTGTGTATGTATGTGTATTCCAATGTGTCTGTATGGACTTTATCCATTTATCCATCGACGGACAGTGAGGTTGTTTCCATGTCTTGGCTATTGTAACTGATGCTGCAAGGAGTATGGAGTGCAGATATCTCTCTGGGATACTGATTTTATTTCCTTTAGATATATTCCCAGAGGTGGGATTGCTGGATCATATGGTAGTTCTATTTTCAATTTTTTGAGGAAGCTCCATACTGTCTTCCATAATGACTGTACCAATTTACATTCCAAACAACAGTGCACAAGGGTTCCTGTTTCTCCATGCCCTCACCAACACTTGTTATTTCATCTTTTTGATAATAGACATCTCAATAGATGTGAAGTGATATTTCATTGCTGTCTGATTCACATTTCCCTGATGATTTGTAACATTGAGCCCCTCTTCATATACCCGCTGGCCATTTGTATGTCTTCTTTAGAAAAATGTCTATTCAGGTCCTTTATCCATTTTTAAATTGGACTTATTAATTTTTTGCTATTGAGTTTTATGAGTTCCTTATATAGTTTGGGTATTAACCTCTTATCAGATAGATGACTTGCAAATGTTTTCTCCCATTTGTAGGTTGCCTTTTCATTTTTTTATGGGTCTAACTCCTCTTTAACTAACACCAAAATCTGACCAGAAGGCCTAATTCATCAGAATCGTATTGACACTAAATCTGTAGAGGAAGGAAGGAAATTGTAGGAAACGCAGTTGATGGCAGGGCTGTTTAAATGAACCTGGGCCTGTGCGGGTGTGCCCTGTGTCCAGTGCTCGCTTCTCTAGTTCTCGGACATTGATCTCTAGTCCCGGACAGTGATCACTGAACTCAGAAAGATGAGACACCAGAAGCCCTGGAGTCAGGGAAACCAAACGAATTCTGCTCTCTCTGAGCCACAGTGACTCAGACAGGAACAGGGACTCATGTTTCAGAAAGTGTTCTGATAACAAAGTTAAGCCTTGATGGCTAGAGAACTCACTGAGTCAGAATACATTATTTGGGACCTAGTGTACACTTTACCTGTTGTTGGGGCTCAGTAAATGTGCGCTTATTCCCCTCAGGGTTGTGGTTGAGACTGCGCTACAGAAAGATCTACTAAGTCACGGCCGTGTTTTCCATCCACCTCGGTCCTGTCTGCTCAGCACTCCCTCACTACTTTTCTGCACCGTTCTTGCATGAAAAGAGATCTAGGGTGACAGGAAATGTAATGACTCATCCGACATTGGATTGAGCCCTTTTTATTTACCTTTTTATGTTGCCTCAGTCTCTGATCCCGGGACACCGTGACACGTGCATGAATGTTTGTATCGCACAGAAGACACAACGTGGATTGCAGTGGGACTCTGATCATTTAAAGGTCTGATTCGCTTGGCTGTCTGATAGCTCTTTGTTTTCCTCAGCCCTTCGACTAGAAAAAGAAATCAAGGTGTGTTTTAATCATGCCGACCAGCAAGGGTCAGGGAGTCCTTCGCTTTGGTTTGTGTCTCTGGTTGTGTATATTCATACCTTTCTTTAAAGGTAGGTTTTATTTCTGCTTTATCTCATATTCCCTTTTTAGCTACAAGCATTTACTCTCCTTTTTTAGTTGGTCTTGACTGTGCAGACATGAAATATTCTATGGGTGAATATATAGAGTGTCTGCACAGGAATTACTGCTGTTACAGCTGCTAATTAAGCTATTTATTTTTTACTGATTAGGTTTAACACGTAAGATGAGATTTTGGGAGGTGGGGTGGAGAGGACAATGAAACATTGTAAACCATATTTTATGTTATTTTTCCAATTATTTCCAATAATGATAATGATGCAGTTTTTTATCCATCTCTGCTGTGGATGTATTCTACATATTACTTGTATTTGAATTTAATATTTTTTCAAAACTGTGATTTATTTGTGAGCTGATACTCTTACTCACTCTATGAAGTCTTCCATTTTGTACTCATCTTTGTTTTGGGAAACATGTCATATTACTATCCTGAAATGTGTCCTAAGAGTAAGATCATTCATTTTAAAAGTTAAGACTTAGAAACATACAATGGCTCCTCTGCTGAGCAAAACCACACTTCCCTGTGCTGATGGCTGTGTGGGGGACTTGCTCTTACAAGGGACTTGCAGGAGGACTCATGGAGAGTTTATCTAAAATGTCTCAAAGGGAAAAAAATGTCTCAAATGAGGGAAAATGGGTAATGGATAGAATTTTTTTATTGTCTGTTTTATGTAGAAATATTTCTGTCATTCTTAATTGTGATGGCAAGAATGGTGTTTTACATTTAAAATTGTTATTTCCTGCTGAAATCTCAGTGTTTCCAAATGCATTCATCAAACAATTCTTTTTATTTAGTAATATAACAGCCATCCTTTCATTCATTTTTGCCTAATGAGTTTTTCAATCCCTTTAATTTTTTTTCAGGGTATAAATCCCTTTGGGAAATTTGTAGAATAATATTTCAGGTGTGAAATTTGAATTCTATAAGGGAAAATATAGAGGGGTATTAATGAAATGAATTATGTCAAATGAAGGCAAGTAACATCCTTTTAATGCATTCTTCCAAAAATACAGAGATATGTGTTAAACTATTGTCTAAAATTTAATGACAGAAAATGCTATTGTATAAGAACCAATTTTGAATTCTTTAAAAAATATTTTAAGAAAATTAGCCTTAAAAACCCTGCACTCTCAGAAATCTCCAAAATGACTGAATTTCAAAGTTGATTTTAAAAAGGAGTATGGTGGCCGGCCCTGTGGCTTAGTGGTTAAGTGCCCACGCTCTGCTACTGGCGGCCTGGGTTGGGATCCCAGGCACGCACCAACGCACCGCTTATCTGGCCATGCTGAGGCAGTGTCCCACATACAGCAACTAGAAGGATGTGCAACTATGACATACAACTATCTACTGGGGCTTTGGGGAGAAAAGGGGAAAAAAAAAAGGAGGAGGATTGGCAATAGATGTTAGCTCAGGGCTGGTCTTCCTCAGCAAAAAGAGGAGGATTGGCACGGATGTTAGCTCAGGGCTGATCTTCCTCAAAAAAAAAAAAAAAAAAGGAGTATGGCTTGTTAAGACCTCAGTGGAACTACTAGTTCTTGTAGTTTGCTTGGTGAAGCTTCCCCAGCTGAACACCTTGCTGGTGGTTGACACAGAGGTCAGCTGGATCGTATTTTGACAAGAAAGGGCAGGACTTTATTTAATTACTGGATCAGTAAGACTGTGAGTGACGTTCAGTGAAATAAGCAAACATCCGAGCCTTGAGTCTCTCCCTGTACATTTGTGATCCCTTAGACTTTTAAAAGTGCTCTTATGAACAGTATTTTATTTGATATCACACTAGTACTGAGATGTAGGTGTCACTCTTTTATCTCCCTTGCAAAGATGACTAGCAAGGCTCTGAGAGAGGAGGTGAAATGGGCACTGGTAGAGGCGTGTGCGCGTGGCCATCGTGCAGGGGCCAGGGTGCCCAATGGGCTTGGACACCCCCCTGCCCAGGTCACCCAGTGATGGAAGCCACCAGAACCTGCCCATCCGCCAGCATCCTCTCTGCTTCTCTAAGTCGTCCCTCTGTTTGCCCACGCAGGCTGTGCAGGTTGTGCCTCTGAGGAAAGACTCTTCCACAAACTGTTTTCTCATTATAACCAGTTCATCAGGCCTGTGGAAAATGTTTCTGATCCCATCACGGTGTATTTTGAAGTGGCCATCACACAGCTGGCCAACGTGGTAAGTGCCGAGAGTTCACCACGTGTACCCCGAGGAGACCCGACTCTGAGGGGCCAGAGCAATTCCCAAGCATTGTCCCAGCTGTTGCACACGGTAAATAGGGGGATTTTAAAAATATAAACAAACAAAAATCTACATGAATGCTAGACCTTCAAAGCCGTCCATTGGGAGGGTGACACTTTCCTCACCAACGCTGTAATTATTCACATTAAGGCAGTGTTTTTCTGAAAGTACTTTCAAAACCAGTTTATGGAGCAGAAGTGAAGGGGAAGTTGCAGGGAGAATACAAAGAGCTAACTCCTTTACGCTCCTGCTATGCACCAGGCTGCTCAGCAGCTACCATCTGCATTTTACAGCTGAGGAGACGAAAGCTCACGTAAGCAGCTTTCCCAAGGTCACACAATCAGAAAACAGTGGAACTAGGTTTAAATCAGGCCCGTTCAATTCCAAAGCTCGTGCTCTTCTTACTCTGTAGAAAAAGAATTGCTTCAAGTCTTCTATGTTGTGTAAGAAAGAAAAAATTCACTTGCTTTCATATAGAGTTCCATCCAGCCCTGAAAAGACAGATGAGAATTTGGAGGTCTTATTTTAATTTATTGCTACCATGTTCAAGGGCAAGTATAGAGTTCTTTCTTTTGAATAATCTTCATGCCTAGTTGCTGGGAGAGGAGGTAGTGGGACACGGTACTCAAATGTAGAGCAGAGTTCTGGGCTCCAAGGCAGGGAAGGGGGCAGGGCGGGCCTGAGGCTAAGGACAGGGACCAAATTCCAGGGATAGGCAGGCTCAGGAAGTGAGGGAAATCGAGAACGTCTTCAGAGAGGGGTGTTAGAGTGAGTTCCTGAAACAACAGTGCCCAGACAGAGGGAGCTCCTTTCATATTACCAGTCCCAGCCACGGACGGAGAAGAAGCCCTCCCTCCTAGACTTTGCCCCGGGAAAACAGTGGGGGCTTTCCAGGTGTACTAGGGGAAAGACCTGAATTACACATGTGAAGTCATGGCCCACCATGTTTCTGCAGTCCATGCTTCCCAGGGGACTAGGCTGACCCTGGCCTGGTCCTCTAGCTTCTGGCCCAGGCTGGAAGTGTGTATATACTGATAAACCCTGGTTAAAAAAACAAAAAAAGCCAGATGTTTTCTCACCTAGATAGGCCCACTTATTCCTTTAATAAATATTTATTTAGTACCTGTTCTTGTTCCTGCACAAAGGGCAGGATCTGCTTGCCGCAAGACAAAAGCCAATTGTCAAGAGGCAAGGTGGGGCCGGCCCCATGGCTTAGCAGTTAAGTGCGTGCACTCCGCTACTGGCTGCCTGGGTTTGGATCCCAGGCGCGCACCGATGCACCACTTTTCCGGCCATGCTGAGGCCGTGTCCCACATACAGCAACTAGAAGGATGTGCAACTATGACATACAACTATCTACTGGGGCTTTGGGGGAAAAAAAGGAGGAGGACTGGCAATAGATGTTAGCTCAGAGCCAGTCTTCCTCAGCAAAAAAAAAAAAGAGGAGGATCAGCATGGGTGATCTTCCTCACCAAAAAAAAAAAAAAAATAGGCAAGATGGTGGAAAAGAAAGGACAGTTTATTACAGCTTGCTAGCAAGGGGGAAGATGGCTGACTAACATCTCAAAGAACCATCTTGAGGGGGCACAAAAATCTTACAGCAGTTATATAGGCCAGTAGGTTGCAGGGGAGGGGGTTAGGAACGTTGACCCTCAGGTGTTACAGACTGGGAGTCGCCACACCAGATCTTTCCGTTTTCCTTGATGATGGCTATCAGCATAGACTCTCTGTTCGGGGGCCATCACATTCCTAAGGAACTCAAAAGAACAAAGTTATCAACTTATCACAGCTGGGAGGTACATGCACAAGCAGGGGTTGTAAAATCTACAGAGCAGTTGGATCTCCTGGAGGGTGCATATCCAGCTGGGTTAGTTGGTCAGAGGTCATATCCAGCTGGGTCAGTCTGTCAGAGGTCATTCAAAGTTATAATAGGGTTTCTGTTCTACAATATGGCTTCCCTTATTCAACCTTGTCTTGAGCCGGTATCATTCTGATCACTTCTCCCTAGCCCTCTCAAATAGCTTAGTACTGGTTACTGGTCTCCTACTGGGCTGGAGGCCATACTTGCTATGGATTTGGTTGCTCTGAATGGAAAACTGAGCTGTTTCACCTAGAGTACATAAGGGTCAGGTCACTGTACAGCATCACTTCAAATCCCTGGTTGATATGCCCTTTCAGGACATTGTTCTGAAGCTGGTGGGTGGGGGACTGCTGAATATAGATTTTGACATTTGTATTTGGCTGCTATCAGTGATTAAAAAAAACAGCACAGCTTAAATAAAACAAGTTTCTCTCTTTCTTATGTAACAGAAATCTAAAGGTTAACATTCCAGGAGGTTAACACCACGAGGCTTCACGGTATTAGCAGCTGCAGCACTGTGTTCACTTGCCCAGGTTATGCACTGCACCACTCCAGGGGATGTCAATCACGTGGACCTTGATGCTAAAAGCATAAACTGTATGTGGTGACAGTGACCAAGCTTCCTTCTATCTTTCTATTTCATCATCCTTAGCATGTGGTTTCTTCCCTTGGTGTTGCCTCATGGTGTGAGATAACCGCTGATTTTCACTCATCACATTCACATTCTGGGCAAGAAGCAGGAGGAAGGGAGTGATAGGGTTTGGGGCAGGCCGCCCCGAGACGTCCATTCTGCTATGCAGATTATTGTGAGCTGAAGACAATAAGGCTCAGAAGACTCTGAAAGAAACTTTGACCCCTCTCCCCCAACTAATTGCCTAAAAGGATTTAAGATAGAAGGCCTGTCCCCAGGACAGGCCATCACCGTAGATAACTCTGGGTATGGATAGACTGGGAGGGTCCTTGCTAAGCCCATTCTTACCAAAGTTCTGTTTACCAAACATTTACATTTGTAAGGGAAATCTCCATTTGTAAAGGCATCTACCTCTCTGCACTGGGAAGAAGGGGGGATGACCTCATCTCTAGAAACTTATCAATGTGGAAGGCGAGGCCTTAAATCTGCATAGTAACCTTACTCTTGTTTACTGTGCTTTTCTGGCAATCTCCCATAGCTGACTCTCCCCACCCCCAACACCCTCCTTTGTCTTTAGATGAAGATAATATTTAAGACGAGAACCTCCTCCATTTTGTCAAGTTACCCAATTTTTCTGGGTCTCTCCCGTGTATACATGTTATAAAGCTTTGTTTGATTTTCTCCTGCTATTCGATCTCATGTCAATTTAATTTGTAGCCCAGCCAGAAATGACCCAGAGTGGGTAGAGGATAGTCTTCCTTCCCTTCAGCAGAAAGGGGCACATACCACGTATCTGTGACTTCCTTAAGGAGTTTTCTTAGAAGTCCTACGGACAGCTTCTTCTTCCTATGTCATTGCCCACCTCTAACTGCAAAGGAGACTTGGGAAATGTAGGGTTTTTTTTGTTTTTTTTTTTTGTGAGGAAGATCGGCCCTGAGCTAACGTCTGCCAATCCTCCTCTTTTTGCTGAGGAAGACTGGCCCTGGGCTAACATCCGTGCCCATCTTCCTCCACTTTATATGGGACACCGCCACAGCATGGCTTGCCAAGCGGTGCGTCGGTGGACACCCGGATCCAAACTGGCGAACCCCAGGCCACCGCAGCGGAGCACGCGCACTTAACCGCTTGTGCCACCGGGCCAGCCCCAAGGGAAATGTAGTTTTTTAAATTGAAATTTTATTTATTGAAATAGTTGCAGATTCATAGGCAGTTGTAATAAATAACAGAGAGATTCCTTGTACGTTTTGCCCAGTTTCCCCAATGACAACCACTAATCTGTCTTCTATTTGTAAAATTTCATCATTTCAAGAAAGTTATATATAAATGGAATCATACAGTATGTAACCTCATAGGATTGGCTTTTTCACTTAGTGTAAGTTCCTAGAGAGTCATCTAAGTTGATTGTATCAATAGTTCGTTTCTTCTTTTTGTGAGTAGTATTTCACAGTTTTTATGTGCCGCAGTTTGTTTAACCATTCACTGGTTGAAAACATTTGGGCTGATTCCAGTTTTGGTTTATTACAAATAGGGCTCCTATGAACCATTGTGAACAGGTTTTTGTGTAAACACATTTCGTTATTTCTTGAGGATAAATGCCGAGGTGTGCCATTGCTGGGTCATATGATAGTTGCATGTTTAGCTTTTTAAGAAACTGCCAAATGCTTTCCAGAGTGGCTGTACCCTTCTACATTCCCATAAGCAATATATGAGGGATCCAATATACCCACATCTTCGCCAGTGTTTGGCGTTGTCACTATTTTGTATTTTAGCCACTCTAATAAGTATGTAATGATATCTCATTGTGGTTTTAATTTGTATTCCCCTAGTGACTAATGATACAGAACATCTTTTCACGGGCTGATTTGCCATCAGCAGATCCTCTTCAGTGATGTGTTTGTTCATGTTCTTTTGCCCATTTTCTAATTGGATTGTTTGACTTTTCTTTTTTTTTTTTTACTGTTGAGTGTTGAGAATTCTCTCTATATTCTAGATTTTAATGCTTTGCCAGATATATGGTTGGCAAATATTTTATCCTAGCTTGGAGCTTATCTCTTCATCCTCTTCTCGTGGGCTTTCACATGAAGTTTTTAATTTTGGTGAGATCCAATTTATCAATTTTTCTTTTATGTGTTGTGCTTTTGGTGTCAAGGCTAAGAATTCTTTGTCTTATCCCGGATCCTGGAGATTTTCTATTTTTAAAAGTTTTATTATGTTTTACATTTAAGACTAAGATCCATTTTGAGTTAATTTTTGTATAAGATGTGACACTTGGGTTCTGTTTTGTTTTTGTTTTTTTTTTGTATATGGGTGTCCAATTGCTCCAGTACCATTTATTGAAAAAGCTATCCTTCTCTATTTAATTGGTTTTGCTCCTTTGTGAAACATTAGTTGAGCATATTTGTGTGTCCTCTATTCTATTTCATTGATCTATGTGACTATCCTCCACCAATACCACACAGTCTTGATTACTGTAGCTGGACAATAAGTCTTAGTACTGGCTAGAGGGATTCCTGCCACTTAATCCTTCTTTGTCAAGATTGTCTTACCCATTCTGGGGCCTGTGCCTTAGAATAAGCTGCATATGTCCACAAAAAGCCTTGCTGGGATTTGGATAGGAATTGCATTAAATCTATAGATTTTACTGTGATGAGTCTCCCTACTCATCTTTAGTGTGTTGAGTCTGCCAATCCGTGAATGTGGGATGTTTCTCCATTTCTTTAGCTATTCTTTCATCAGCATTTTGTAATTTTCAGCATACAGATCCTGTACATGTGTTGTTACGTGTATACATAAGTAGTTTGTTTTATTTGGGGTGGTTGAAAATGGTGTTATATTTTTAATTTTGGTTTGTCCATGCTCATTGTTAGTATATTTAAATATAATTGATTTTTCTATATTGATCTTGTATCCTGAGATCTTGCTGAATTCACTTATCAGTTTTGGTATTTTTATAGATTCCATGGAATTTTCCATACAGGCAACCACGTCACATGCAAATAGAGGTAGTTTTATTTCTTCCTTTCCAATCCGTGCCTTTTTTTTTTCCTTTTTCTTGCCTCATTGCAGTGGCTAGAACTTCCAGCACTATGTCGAATAAGAGTGATGAGAGTGGACATCCATGCCTCGTTCCCGACCTTAAGGAAAAAGCATTCAGTCTTTCACCATTTAATATAATGTTAGCAGTAGGTGTTTTGTAGATGCTCTTATCAAGTTGAGGAAGTTCCCCTTTATTCCCAGTTTTCAGAGAGTTTTTATTCATGAGTTGTTGTTGAATTATGTCAAATGCTTTTTCTGCATCAATTGATATGATCCCATGATTTTTCTTCTTTAGCTTGTTGATATGGTAAATTACATTGATTTTTGTTTTTTTTTTAATTAATTAATTTATTTATTTTCCCTCCAAAGCCCCAGTGGTAGTTGTATGTCATAGCTGCACATCCTTCTAGTTGCTGTATGTGGGACGCGGCCTCAGCATGGCCGGAGAAGCGGTGCGTTGGTGCGCGCCCGGGATCTGAACCCCGGGCCGCCAGCAGCAGAGCGTGCACACTTAACTGCTAAGCCACGGGGCTGGCCCCATTGATTGACTTTTGAATGTTGAACCAGCCTTGCATCTCACTTGGTCATGGTGTATAACTTTTTATGCGTTCTTGGATTTAATTTGCTAAAGTTTTGTTGATGATTTTTGCATCTAAGCTCATGAGAGATATTGATCTGTAATTTTCTTTTTTTTTTGTACTGTGTTTTTCTGGGTTTTGTGTCAGGATAATACTAGCTTCATAGAAAGCCTTAGGAATTGTTCATTTCTCTTCTATTTTCTGGAAGAGATTGTGTAAAATTGATACTAATTATTCTTTACATATTTGGTAGAATTCTCCAGGGAAACCTACTGGGCTTGGAGATTTCTTTTCCAGGAGATTTTTAATTATAAATTCAATTTTTTTTGATGGATGTATGCTATTCAGATTGTCTGTTTCGTCGTCTTTGAATCTGGATAGTTTGTGGTCTTTGAGGAATTTGTCCATTCCTTTTAAGTTGTCAAATGTATGATAAAGTTCAAGTTGTTCGTAGTACTACAAGGTAATGGTCCCAGGAACGTGGAGTGGGATTGTGGGTCTCTGGTCTCCTCCAGCTGGGGTGTCTGATGGCAGTGCCCATGGCCATTGGTGTGGTCTGGAATTGGATGGAGAACAGGACTTGCCAGACCAGGTCCTGATCCATGAATTTGGCTGACACCTCTGAGGGTGTACACACCACAGGGAGCTTCACCAGCGTGTGGAAGTGTGAGTTGGGAGATAGGATATTATCAGGACAATACTGCAACTGATTTTAATTTTCTGAACACAGTGTACTAGTTCACAGTGTACACTAGCTCTCTGAACACAGTGTGCTAGTATACAGAGAGGAAGCGGTCTTTGAAAGATGCTTACAACAGTTATCTCCGAGACCATTCTGGACTTCAGAGCTGGTCCATTTCTGACTGACAGCCAATGGATTTATTGACATGGCCCCTGCTGGCATCTGCAGGTCACAAGGTGATCCCCTCACGAGCAGAAGGCAATGACTTTAGTTCTAGGTAATGGTAAAGTCATGGACTGCTTGGCCAACGGACAAGTATAGTCCATTTCTTTGCATTCCTTGACCAATAGGAAACTGTGAATGTAACTCCTTTTGTTGACCTTGTAAAACCCTGGGGTTTACCATGACTTGACACAAACTCATTTTAAGGAGGAAGCTTGGCAAGGTCTCCAGTTAGAGTTTTCCAAGGCGAGTGGAGAACTGCAGCACAGCTCAGTGGAGCAGAGCTGGCTGGTGTCCGGACCCTGGCCACAGCCCCCTCAGCCATAGTTGAGCTCATTTAATCTGGAGGGGGCTCATGTGTCTTGGGAAGCAAGATTGGTAAGTTTTGGGAACCCACTGCTGCTACTGGGTAACCATCAAGAGCCCCCAGGCTGTTGTGCTGTAAAGCTGTGGAGGGTTCTGGATGTGTCTTCAGTAGCTTTCCCACTGAGAGTTGGCAGCTGCTTAGGGACACATTTGGGCTATCGGCCTGGAATACTTTTCTTCCAGATAGCCCCATGACTCTCTTCAGGTCATTTAGGTACCTACTTAAACTACCACCTCAGAGAAGCCCTCTTTGTTCATCCTGTCTAAAATAGATGTGTTTGTGTGCGTGTGTGCACGTATGTGTGCATGCAAGTGTGTGTGGGTGTCTGTACACACACAGCCCGCTCCATCCCTCTTTGTTTTTCTTCATAGGACTTACACTATCTTATATTATATTATATATCTATTATTGATTTTCTGTCTCCCCAGCTAGCAGCTAAGACACATGAAGGTAGGGATTTCCATCCTGTTTACTGCTGTAGTCCCAGCATTTATAGAGCACGTGGTAGGTACTCAATAAATATTTGTGTAATGAACGATTGAAGCAATCAGCAACGGCTTGGGGAGGAGTGGGGAATGTGTTGTGGGGAGTGGGGGCTTCCAACTGGAAAACTCCGTGGTGGGCTGAGGCTGACATCTCCAGGGGAAATTGGGTTCAGGACTCAGATCCTAGAGAGTAGTGAGGTGCGGTTGAGGAAAGGGATGTTCATGGAATGAGGAAGGAGGTGCAAAAACAAGGAACCAGAGTTGGATATTTATCACCATCTGCAGGATTTCCCCTCCCTCCTTCCCACTCTCTCTTCTCTCCCTTCTTTCTTTTCATGGAATCAGAAACCTTTATGGGCTATGGTGATCAGAAAGGCTTCACAGGGCCAGCCCTGTGGCTTAGCGGTTAAGTGCACGCTCTCCGCTGCTGGTGGCCCGGGTTCGGATCCCAGGCGCGCACTGAGGCACCACTTCTCTGGCCATGCTGAGGCTGCGTCCCACATACAGCAACTAGAAGGCTGTGCAATTATAACATACAACTCTCTACTGGGGCTTTGGGGAAAGAAAGGAGGAGGATTGGCAATAGATGTTAGCGAGGAGTGGGTCTTCCTCAGCAAAAAGAGGAGAATTAGCATGGATGTTAGCTCAGGGCTGATCTTCCTCACCAAAAAAAAAAAAAAAAAGAAGAAGAAAGGCTTCACAGAAGAGGTGAGAGTTAAATTGCATTTGGAAGACAGCCTTTTTTTTGTTTGTTTGTTAGGAAGATCAGCCCTAACATCCAATGCCAATCCTTCTCTTTTTTGCTGAGGAAGATTGGCCCTGGGCTAACATCCGTGCCCATCTTCCTCTACTTTATATGGGACACTGCCACAGCATGGCTCGACAAGCAGTGTGTCAGTGCGCGCCCGGGATCCGAACCTGCAAACCCCAGCTGCCAAGGCAGAGCGCGCGCGCTTAACCACTGCGCTACCGGGCCAGCCCCTGAAAGACAGTCTTAAAGCCACATTTCCTTTCAAAGTCAACAGAGTTGGGACCAGATGTGGAAATATCGTATTTCTGGTTGCTTTTTATAAATTACATTTTCAGTCTTCTTTGTTTTCCTCCATTAGCATGAATAACTCAGATTTAGCTCTTTTTAGTTATTCTTGCTCTAAGATCCACCTCTAGTAGTGAGTACATTTGAGGCTAAAAATATCATTTCTCCTTCCCAGGATGAAGTAAACCAGATCATGGAAACCAATTTGTGGCTACGTCACGTACGTGTCTACACCATGTGTCCTTCTCTTGGACCTGTGGTACCCATGTGTCAGTTCCAACAATGTCTAATGTCTGGCATTCCTTTTTTCCATCTCCAACTTATGGTAGAGCATGAAAGATTATCTATCTCCAAAGCCTAAAGTTCAGCTCTGGTAACAGCTTGCTTGATGTAAGCTTCACAGGTGCAGAAATCTAGTGGCCAAGTTCTCTGGGACATAGAGACTCTGTCCGTTCTGGTTTCTGTTCTCAAGTCTCCTATTTTTATCTGTCACTTGAGCTCCAGAGTCAGATGCCCTTTCTTTGATCCTGCAGCACCAGGCCTAGAGAACTCAGTAGCTGAGCACGAGAGCATGTGGGGTAGATTCCACCAACTGGTTTTATCAGTTATACCATCTTGTTCTTCCTTCCTGCCTTAATCATTTACACGGATTTTGAAACAGACTCATCATAGTACACTTGAATTATCTTTTTAATATTAGAAATGGGTTGCTACTCCAGTTTGAATATAGTCCATGGAAATTGAGCCTATAACCTTGGCCAGCTAATTAATAATCAATAGATAATTATCCAATATCTATTACATAATTTATATTTTTCAAAATCAGGCCAGCTACCTAGCTTCCTGTTCCCCACGGATTTAATCTCTCGACTTTGATAGAAACCAATATACTCTTCAAATAAGAACTTATTTTTTTCAAAAACTACTGAACCAACATAGAACTAACATTGGAAGAAAGTTACTAAGAAATTTTTTTTAAACTGACTTCTATTTTTCTTAGATTTGGAATGATTATAAATTGCGCTGGGACCCAGTGGAATATGACGGCATTGAGACCCTCCGTGTTCCTGCGGATAAGATCTGGAAGCCTGACATTGTCCTCTATAACAAGTACGGGTGTCCGACCGCGGTGGTCTCTTCCCAAAATGCCTGTGGTAAATGCGGGCCTCCAGCGAAGGGGTGTCACTAATGGTGTCTGATTTACTTTTCAGTGCTGTCGGCGACTTCCAAGTCCAAGGCAAGACGAAAGCTCTTCTCAAATACGATGGCATGGTAACCTGGACTCCACCAGCCATTTTTAAGAGTTCCTGTCCTATGGATATCACTTTTTTCCCTTTTGATCATCAAAATTGTTCCCTGAAATTTGGTTCCTGGACATATGACAAAGCTGAAATTGATCTTCTAATCATTGGATCCAAAGTGGATATGAATGATTTTTGGGAAAACAGTGAATGGGAAATTGTTGACGCTTCTGGCTATAAGCATGACATAAAATACAACTGTTGTGAAGAGATATACACAGATATAACCTATTCTTTTTACATTAGAAGATTGCCAATGTTTTACACCATTAATCTGATCATCCCCTGTCTCTTTATTTCATTTCTAACTGTATTGGTCTTTTACCTTCCTTCTGACTGTGGTGAAAAAGTGACACTTTGCATTTCAGTTCTGCTTTCTCTGACTGTGTTTTTGCTGGTAATCACAGAAACCATCCCATCCACATCTCTTGTGATCCCACTGGTGGGCGAGTACCTACTATTCACCATGATCTTTGTCACCCTGTCCATCGTGGTGACCGTATTTGTGTTGAACATACACTATCGCACCCCAACAACACACACCATGCCCAAGTGGGCGAAGATGGTTTTCCTCCAGCTGTTACCCCAGATCCTGATGATGAAGAGGCCTCTGGATAAGACGAGAGAGACAAGTTCTGATAAAAACCCCAAAGGCGTTCCCAATAGGCCTCCCAAAGTCAAATTTCATAATCGTAGAGAGCCCAAACTTCTGAAAGAATGCTGCCACTGTCATAAATCAAGTGAGCTTGCGGCCAGCAAGAGAAGATTAAGTCATCAGCCTTTACGTTGGATGACCGAAAATTCAGAGCACTTGCCTGAAGTTGAAGATGTGATTAACAGTGTTCAATTCATAGCAGAAAACATGAAGAACCAAAATGAAACAAAGGAGGTATGTCTCCCCCACATGTCTCTTCTAGCCTGTCCTCCCTGCGCAGGCCTAGAGGCACTTTATAGACATGGTCAGATCTTCAGTGTGAGTTCTGTTTACAGGAGGGTCAGGCAGCATTACTCTAAGATCCAGCTCTGTTGTTAGGAAGGTATTGGTGGACTGACCTGTGGGTGGCGTCGGGTAATGTGTAGCCCCAGAGCCCATCTCTGCCTCCAGAAATGTTAACTCAAGTGAAATCTGGTTAAAATAATCATTCAGAGCAACCTTGGTGAATGAAACCAGAAGCCCCTGAACAAGAAACAGTGGCAGGTGGAAAGGGGAGAACTGTCCCAGAGCGCAAGGAGAAATGACGGCAGAGCAGCCTGCAATCTGAGAGCAGGGGGGAGGAAGGAGAGAGGGAGCCTTCCGCAGCTCCAATCCCACTTATTCTACTTTACAGGGATTTAGGTGCTGATGGAATGAGCATTAGGGGTATTTTTAGCATCAACATATTCTGCTCCTGTTGCCCAGGGTCTAACTATAGCAGCATGGACCTCCCCCATCCTCCAGAGAGAGTTCAAGAAAATCACGCCAATTTTCCATACCGTAAGGATGACCAGCTGAGGGCATCTGAAAACTCATGCCAGGTGTCCGAGTTTGACCTCATAGTGCAGCTGCTGGCATTCATATCTCCTAGTGAAGGATATTGTGAGACCTGAAGTCCACCCTGTTGTACAGGGGAAGACACTGTGACTGCGTGTCACACAGGTGGGGATAGGGGGATACATGATGGGACAAGTGAGCCCAGAACTCACGTCCATGGTGACACCTTCATAAAATCTAGGGGAGAGTTGCTGTTGACTTCATCACCACCAGGTAGGGCTCTCAAGACACAACCAGGGAGACTTTGGCAGAAGGTTGGAGGTCAGAAACTAGAAGGACCTGAGAAATGCAACAAGCTCTCCACAGCCAGCGTGACTTTGACATCTAGAGGACTGCCTATTCCTGATAAGGGGGTCCTCCATCATACCTCATGTCCTACACCCGCTGTCTCAGACCCCTTTCCCAGACTTGCCAAGAGGTCAGAATATCCAGTGGTACCAATGACAAGAGTTGAGCTCTCTGAGCAACCATTTTTTGGGAGTCAGGAAAAGTCCTTTGTGACCCATGGAATCCTGCTTACTCTGTAGTCAGTTGCATGAGGCTCCAACGGGGCGCGTGCATCCACCCTCTTCAGACAAAACAAAAGTTCTTCTGTGTACTATATAGGAGACATGGGTTAATCAGAATAATACTAATATTTGCTTAAAAAATTTCCAGGGAAATCTTCTTTGAAAAGGAAGCAGCTTATTTATGAAACAGAGCATATTTCCTATGGTTTTGATTTTTAAAAATTGCTTTAACTTTTTGTTTGCCTTTCAGGTAGAAGACGACTGGAAATATGTGGCCATGGTGGTGGACAGAGTATTTCTTTGGATATTTGTAATTGTCTGTGTGTTTGGAACTGCAGGGCTATTTCTACAGCCACTATTGGGGCAGACAGGAAAATCTTAAGGATGTATTTTCCTTTTATCTTCAGAAACATAGATGCTCTATTTGTTCTATGTTCCCTACCACAAGAGAAGGGACATAAAGCTTTCTGCCCAAGTCCCCCATCAACTGAAGCTGATGACTAGATGGAAAAAGAGGATTTTATTGCAAATTAGGGCCCGAATGCCCTCCTTTGTAGCAGAGAGGAGTATTTTAAGACGTGTTAACACTGTAGCCCAGAGCTGGCAGCGCTCACAGGCTTCTCCTGTCTGTACATGTTTGGTTTCCAGGGTTGTGAATGACCCATACGCGGCGAATCGTGTCATCAACATCAAGCCACACCAAAAAGAGGTTCTGTTGTACCTCCAGCTTATGCTGCTTATCAGCACACTGACACGCCAGCCGTGAAACTCTGGAACTTGGACCTTGCTGACGCTTGCAACGCTTGTAACGCTTGTGAACTATTGTATGCCTGCTTTCTTGTGCCTGTCTCTGTGATGTAGCTCACACACACCCACATCATTTGATACATTAATTGGCAAAAAGCAGGTAGTCAGAGTCTATCTCAGCAGGCTGTGTTTATGAGCATTCATCTGGCAAGAAACTTGAGTGGGAAGCCAGCACTGTGCTAGGCATTGCAAGGGTAACAGAAACAGTCCCCAAGCACTTGCAGCTTTTTAGGAAAAGTCATAAACACCAGGATCTCCAGGACCAGGTGTCATGTGGGGAACGTAACTAGAGCAATCAAAATAGGAGAACACGATGCGGAGTGGCGGGCAAACCTGAAGAACCTTTGTTGTGGGTCAAAAGAGTGTCTTTTCTGGTCAACACTTTCCATTGTTCACTGTAGCTGAGACTGAAAATAAAATTATTTCTTCTCTAAGACATTGTAGTCTCGTACCTTTTGGAGCAATTCCTTTTCTGAGAGGGAGAACCTTGGGAATCTATTTTATTCCACTCTAACTTATGATATTTTTATTTGTTGTATAAATATTATTATAATTTTAAAGATGTATTTTAAAGAAGGAAAAAATAAATCTACCCTAACAAAGGAACTAATTTCCTTTTTGCCTTTTCCCTTCTAGTCCTCATTTGTATGCACACATAATTTTGCACTTCAGTTTTACCTTTCAATTTTGTATTTTGCTGTTTTCTCAAAACAGCATGTCAGCAACATTTCTCCATGATGTTACATAGTCTTGAAGTATAATTTTTATGATTGCATAATCTCCATTGTGTTGATACCCTGTGCCTTCTATTACCACGTGTTAATTCTTCCTTGTTTATCTCATCCTGGAGCATAAAGCAATCTGTGGTACGCCAGGCAGAGGTCTTAAATTTGAATTACTCTGTTTTAAAGTATTTTTACTCCTTCTCATATTTGTGATTTTAGTACCTATATTTTATCTTTCTGTGTTTACAGAGGGTTGGTTGTTAGTTGATACTTTTTTTGACTATTAAGCCAAATAGATATTTAATTTCTTTCTTTCTTTTTTTTTTGGTGAGGGAGATTGGCCGTGAGCGAACATCCGTTGCCAATCTTCCTCTTTTAGCCGAGGAAGATTGTCGCTGAGCTAACATCTGTGCCCATCTTCCTCTATTTTGTATGTGGGACACCGCCACAACAATGGCTTGATGAGTGGTGCATAGGTCCCCAGGCGGGATCCGAGACTGCAAACCCCGGGCCACAGAAGCAGAGCGTGTGAACTTAACCACTACACCACCAAGCCAGCCCCTTAATTTCATTTTTAAAAAAGTTTTAATTGTGGTAAAATACACATAACATAAAACTCACCATCTGGAGGCGGAGTCAAGATGGCGGCGTAGGCAGACTCTGAACTCACCTCCTCCCGTGGACACAGCCAATTTACAACTACTCGTGGAAAAATTA